AAAGAAAGAAAGAAAGAAAGAAACAGAAAGCCCTTGCCTATACCTACATCTTCAAGAGTTTTACCTGTTTTACCTTCCAGTTTAAGTGTCTTTCTTCTAAAATTTAGGTTGTTTTTGTTTTTGTTTTTTAATTTTAGTACAGGGTCTCACAATGCAGATCAGACTCATAGTGAGCTGCCTGTGTTCAGCGTCCCAAGAGCTGGGATTACAAGTGCATGCCACCCCACCCAGTCTCTGGCTTTCTGAATAGAGCACCATGCCCAGTCGAAGTCCATCTCAGCAAGCCCCGGCGGTGGGACAGGCACGGCACACTGGGTTAACCCTGGCAGCTGTGTCTGCCTAAGCAGGCGCTTTAATCCGTGGAGCTATTTGGCAGGTCCTTGAAAATTATTTATTTTATTTTATTTTTTGGCAGAACCGGGGATTGAACTCAGGCCCTTACGCTTGCCAAGGAAGCACATATTCCACTGAGCCATCTCCGCGGCCCAAGCCCTTAAAATTTAGATCTTTTTTTAAAAATTTTTTTTAATTTTTTTTATTTTTGCAGAACCAGGGATTGAACTCAGACCCTTACACTTGCCAGGGAAGCGCTTATTCCAGTGAGCTATCTCCCTGGCCCCCAAAATTTAGATCTTTGATCCATTTTTATTTTGGTTTAGTACATGGTGAGGTATATGGATTTAGACAGTCTTCTGTGTGTGGACATTCAATTTTCCCAGCACTGTTAATTTATTTATTTTTCTCACACCATTTAGTAAAGAGGCTGTGTGTCTTCCCTCGTGTATTTTTGGTCCCTTGGCCAAAGATCAAATAGCTAAGTGTGGCTGGGTTGTTTCCGCTTAACCTATTCTGTTCCATGTATCCCCAAGTCTGTCTTTGTGCCAGGCTGTTTATATCAGTGTAGCTTCGTAATATAACTTCAGATCTGGGATGGTGATGCCTCTTGCTGTCCTGTTACCCTGAATTGCTTTTGCTGTGTTTGGTGTCTTCTGGCTCCATGCGAATTTTAGGATTGTTTTCTCTAGATCCGTAAGGTATTTTGATTAGGACTGTGTTCAGACTGCATCAGTTTTAGAAGCATGGTCATTCTGACAGTACTGTTTCTGCTTATACAGGAACACGGAGTATTTTTCCTTTTTCTTTTTTTTTTTAATATTTATTTATTTTTATTTATTACATTTATTTATTGTGTGTGTGTGTGGCCAGCTCAGCCCACCAGGGGGCGGGGCTGGCTGGCATGTGGTGCTGGGGATCGAACCCGTGGTCCCTGTGCTTCGCCAAGCTTGATTCAAGTAGGTGCTTTAGACCACTGAGCCATCTCTCCAGCCCGTACTTTTCCTTTTTCTTTCTTTCTTTTTTCTTTTTTTAGTAGTACAAGGGATCAAACTCAGGACCTTGCGCTTGCCAGGCAGCCACTTATTCCACTGAGCTATCTCCCTGGCACTTTTTTTATGTATTTAGTACAGAGTCTACAGGTCTTACTACGTAGATCAAATTCATAGTGATTCTCTGGTTCCAGTCTCCCAAGTGCTGGGATTACAGGTATGCATCCCCATGCCCAATCTCAATTGCTGTCTCATTGCGCCCTAGGGATGGGGCCAGCATGGCAACCTGGGGATTGAACCCTGGCCACTGTGCTCTGCCTAAGCAGGTGCTTTAGTCCACTGAGCTATCTGGCCGACCCTGTTTTTCCATTTTCTGATAGCCTCTCCAATCTGCTTTCTCAGAATGATGTAACTTTCATTGTAGATGTCTTTCACTTCCTTGATTAGATTAATTACTAAGTCATTTTTTCTGGACGCTACTATGTATTTTTTTCAGTATCGAGGATTGAACTCAGGACCGTGCACTTGCCAGGCAAGTTGGATGCTACTATGAATGGTATTGGTTCCTAATTTCTTTCTCTAAGAGCTCATTATTTATTAGTTTATATGAACACTGTTGTTTTTTGTGTTGGTGTTGTACCCTGCTATACTCCTGAATGTGATTGTTAATTCTAAGTGTCTTTTAGCACAATTTTTTTGAAACTTGGAAGTAGAGAATCAAGCCTTCTACAAATGATACTTTAATCTCTTTCTGTCCCATCCACATGTGCAAGGGACTGGCACACTCACAGGTTTAGGTCTCCTCAGGGACTCCTGCAAGGAAGCCATTCAGATCCCAGGGACCACCCCTCTCCTTCCCTAAGCCCCCACTTTCTAGCCTGGAGAGGAGCAAGACCCTTAGGGCAGATGGTAGGGCTCAAGCACATATGCTGGAGTAACCAGTGTTGATGTTATGAACTGTGAAAGAGGAGACCCCTGGGAGGGACATCAGCTGAGTGCTCGCTGCAGAGGATTCCCCTGGGCTGTGCTGGCCCTGGAGTTGGAGATCCAGGGCTGGGTGGGACCAGGGCTCCATCCAAATGGGAGATGATCTGGGAGCAAAGGAGTCCCGGGCAGTAAGGTACAGGAGGGAAATGACCATGGGCAGGGAAGGACCCGGAAAGCTGAGGTGGGCCTTGTCCATCAGAGTGGAGAAGTGCTTCCCAAACACCGGTGCCCAGCCATGGAAAGGTGGCATCCTGGGCCTAGAGGAGTCACTTGGGTCCCCAGCACTTTATCTTGCCCACCTAAGATGTGACAGCAGCCCCTACCTAGGGGCTTGAGTCTAATAAGGCCTCTGGCCTGTATTAGAAAGTGAAATCTCAATGCCTGTTGCTTGGGAAACAAAACAGTCCCAGTCCCCACACTTACAAAAGTGCTTGTGCTTGGAGACTTTGTATGTGAAAGCGTGCAGTCTCAATTGACATGAATGAGGCAGGAAGGTCTGGGAAAGGTGGGGAACTGCTCAGGACCCATAGAACCCTGGGCCGTGAAGGAGCCGGAGCTTTGCCTTGGGCTGAGCCAGTCACATCCCAGGCCCACGGCTCAGGGAGTCCGGGGTGTGTGTTCAGGTCCTCGGGATGTGCAGTCCTCTATATTTTTTTTTCTGTCCCACACACCCCTCTTGCGACTTTCTTCCTTTCCTCCCATGCCTAAGCTGCTGGCCTCAAAGCTTGGCCTTCTGGGGACCTGAGGCAGAGACAGGAATGGCTTTTTTTTTTTTTTTTTTCTTTCCAGAACCAGGGATTAAACTCAGGCCCTTGCTTGCCAGGGAAGCGCTTATTCTATTGAGCCATCTCTGTGACCCCTAAGACACAATGGCTTTGAGCAGCGCAGACCAGGCTTCTGCAGGACACTGGTCCCTTTCCCGCCATCTCACAACTGTGCTCCTCCATGCCAGCTTGCAAGATGCCCAGGCCAAGCATGGTGCCCCGCTCTGTGGAGCATGTCCCAGCCCAGCCTAGTCCTACAGCTCTAAGTATCGCCTGGGGCAAAGCACAGACAGGGAGGTGACCTCTAAATCCAGACGTGGACATCAGGGAGGCTGAGGCAGGAGGATCTTCTGGAGTTTGAAGCTAATGTGGGCTTGTCTTATCCCCCCAACCCCCCACCCCCAAATTAAATAAATTGAGATCTGCGGCTCTGGCTGGAGACCTCATACAAGTGCATCCCACGCTGGGGCCTTCAGCACAGAAAGAGTTAAGTCACACTCCACCACCACCCCTATCATCGCTAGGGGGGCTCCCGCCCCCGGAGCCCTGCGCCCCTGCTCCCCCCCTGGCGGCTGCTCCGGGGAGGCGTTGCCGTGGCAACCGGCAGGGC